ATGGAGATTCAGCGAAAGATCCGAGATAACTAGAGCACTAGAAATGGAGAGACAGAGAGATAGAGAGAGAAAGCGAGAGAGAGAGAGAGAGAGAGAGATAGAGAGAGAGAGAGAGAGTCCTGTTTACCCACCACTTTCTCTCCCTCTCTCTGTTCCTCATGTGCCCCTGGGCCTGGGGGTTATTTCACAAGGACCTGGGACACCCAATCCCAGTGATACAGTGAGCTGGGATCTTTCGCTGAATCTCCATGCGGCCAGGCAATTGGCTGCTGAAATGTTGGGAAGAGCTGGGGCAAGAGCAGAAAACTGAATGTTGACATGTTCCAGCTGCTCTTTGGCTTCTCCTGGCCCCAGAAGTAGCTCACAGCTGGGGGTCAGACCCTCAGAGAGTGACTGGGGCAGAGCTGGGGGAGAGGGGGCACCTGGGATGACATAGATATGACCACTACAAGGATCCTTGACCCTGCTCCTTGATCCCAAAATCCAGTTGATCTCAGAGAAACCACCCTCTCGGAGACCAACATGGGATTTCCAGGAGGTCCAAACAGCTTCGGAACATAAACCACCTCCCCTCCCCTCCTGCCCTTCCCTTCATCCCCTTGCCCCCCCCCTTTCCCCCCCCTATCCCCCCACACCCCCCTTCCCCCCCCTAGCCCCCCTTCCCCCCACTATCCCCCACCCCCCCCCCCCCAACTGCCCCGGGCTCAGTCAGCTTTTCCAGTTGCTGTGAGGTTTGAATAGGAAGTTGTCATGGAGCTGTCTCTCTGACCCAGGTGGGAGTGGATTCATTTCTTGTTCCTGAATTCCAAATCACTGTATTCCTGTCGGCCTGACTGTTCAATTCCCTGGAACAAAAAAGGAAGGAAATTGAAAATCCTGGCATTACAAACCCTGCATGATCCAACTGACCCATCCCTGCAGTTGACCCACTGAGGTCTCTCTCCTGTTGTCACTGGACAACCCGACTCACTGCAAGGTTCACCCTCACCCCAGGGGTACCCCCATCACCCTCCACCTCTCTTTCCCCACACCCCCACCCACCCCTCCTCATTCCCCATCCATGACTGCCCACTCCCAATCCCCTATCCCCATCGTCACCCTCATTCCACTTCCTCCATCCTCCTACTCCTCCCCCAACCTGATTTTCCATCTGGCCTACCCCTCCTTTCCACAACCCCCACCTCTACACCCAACCTGCTTCCTCTCTCACTTGGAGTTGACCTCAGTGTTTTTCCCCTGAAATGAAGCCTCATTGGGTGAGAGCAGTTTCAGTTTTGATCAGAATCCCCCAAACCTCATGGAATGCGGACCACAGCCCACTGCCCGTTGGAGCTTGGGACTTTCCATCTTGATTCGCCTGAGTTCAGAGTCAGGATGATTCCCCTAGAACATAGAACATAAAACTGTACAGCAGAGGAACGGGCCCTTCAGCCCATGATGTTGTGCCAAACGTGATGCTAAATTAAACTAATCCTTTCTGCCTGCCCTTGTCCATATCCCTCCATTCCTAGCATACCAATGTGCTTATCTAAAAGCCTTAAACATCCCTATTGTATCTGCTTCCACCACCACCCCTGGCAGTGCATTCCAGACTCCTACCACTCTCTGCGTTTTAAAAAAAACTTGCCCCTCACGTCCTCTTTGAACTTTCTCCCTCTCACTTTAAATGCATGCCCCCTAGTATTAGACATTTCAATTCTGAACGCAATTTGATCTCCCAAAATGCAGTACCTCACACTTCCCCAGATTAAACTCCATCTGCCATTTCTCTGCCCATATCTGCAACTGATCTATATTCTGCTGTATCCTTTGACAACCTTCTACGCTATCCATAACTCCACCAATCATTGTATAATCTGCAAACTTACTAACCCACCCATTTACATTTTCATCCAAGTCATTTATATATAACACAAACAGCAGAGGGTCTCAGTACAGATCCCTGTGGAACTCCAATAGTCACGGACCTCCAGCCTGAAAGCCACCCTTCCACCATTACCCTCTGTCTTCTATGAGCAAATCAATACTGAATCCATGCAGCCAAGTCACCGTGGATCCCCTGCATTTTAATCTACCATGAGGGACCTTGTGGAAAGCCTTACTAAAATCCATGTAGACAACATCCACTGCTCTACCCTCATCGATCACTTACGGAATAAACAGCACCAATCTCATCACTCCGGACCAGGGCCTGGCGATCTGAGGCTGTGGGGACATAGGAAAAGCCAAAGGTCAGAAATGCAAAACCTGCGTTTCGATAGCGCTTTTCCCCATCTCAGGCCATCCCAACACATGTCAGAGATAATGCAGCACAAGCACTATAATACAATCTCACCGACCACTGAATGCTGCATGAACCCTGCAGCCTCAGACAGCAGGATTCTGTACAAGGGGCACAGATTCCCAGATTCCGGGAGCAATCAGAGGTCCCAAAGGAGGCAACACACACCCCGGCCCCTCTCCCCCTTCCCTTTCCAACCCACAAACTGTCCACCCCCTCCAACCCCTAAACCCCCACACCGGCTCCCTTTATTTCCTACCCTTCCTTCCGCACCCCGCCAACAAAGATACACCCCAACCTCCCCAACAAGATCGCCCTGGCGGTGGGGAGGGGGGAATCCAGTTCCTACCTCGGTGCAGCTTTGTTTTCCCGGGAGCGAACACACAGTAAACAGCGACTGCGATCAGAACTGTGGCAATTAGATTCCCCAGCACCATTCCCAGAAAAGTCTTAGTGTCAGCCTGGACACAGTTCAGACAATCTACAGCCAGAAAGAAACATAATATCTCAGCCAGGGATCAAGGCACACCTCACATACCCACAAACCCCACATCCACCCACACCCTCACCCACACACCCACACCATACCCTCACCCACCCTCTCTCCCCCACAC